GGCATTCCCCTTTGTCATTCTTGATCAGTGGGTTGCTCTGTCTCTTATACACATCTAGATGTGTATAAGAGACAGCCCTTATGGTGTGGAGGTCCGGAGGACGGCATTGATTACTTCCCGGAGGAAGGATGTAGCCTGTTCTATTGGGAATCTGCTATTATTCTATAAATGGTGCTGAAACCCTAAACCCACGCTTAATGCATCTTTGACTGTGGTCTGTACCTGGCGGTCGTTTCTATACTACAGCTGTTGATTACACCTGTTGTGGTTCCTGGGGTTGGTTTGAAATCTGGGTTTCACATGAAGGTGGGGAGGGGTCTATTTGAATTCTGATGGAGGCATTCCTCGTAGGATAGATGCTGAGGCTTAGAAGGTGGCTGGGTTGGGGGTTTTGGCTATGTGTAGTGTAATGGGTGGTGTAAGGACTGTCTCTTATACACATCTAGATGTGTATAAGAGACAGCTCTCTCTCTCTCTCTCTCTCTCTCTCTCTCTCTCTCCCTGTCTATCAGACTTTCTCTCTTCGGTCGACCAGTCGGTCAGTGTGTTGGCCAGCCGGTCGGTCAATCTCCCTGTCTGGCTGCCGACTGCCTGCCTGTCTCTGTCTCAGTCTGTTTGTCTGTTGGTCGGTTAGTCGGTAAGCCCGTCCATTGGTCCGTTTTATCCGTCAGTCGCTCTGCCGGATTATCCTGTGTCCCTTTGTCCCTTGATCCTTCTGTCTTTGTGGGTAGCTAGCTAGCTAGCTATTCGTCTGAGGAGAACTGTGAAGTGTGGATTGGCTTGGCAGTTACGTTATAGCAGGATAACTAGTTGTGTGCCACCGTTTGCCCACATTTGCCCATCCTCTTCTGAGTGACAGTTTTTGATCCTCGCACTTCTCCCTCCTACTCCCCATTGCCTTTTCATCGGATTCATGTCTCTCATCCTTTACTCCCAGATCCTCCTGCTCTCCTTGTCCTGGTTTGTTGTCTCATGTTCTTTCCCTGCTCCTCCTCTTCCAGATTTCTCCTTCTTCTCCTTGTTCCAAAAATTCCAGTGTTATTATGTTCTTACTGTTCTTCATATCTCTGCCTTCCTACTGTTCTTCATTCTCCTTCACTCTTTTCTTTCCTCGCCATGCTTGTCCTTTTTCTTTCATTCTTTGCTTAATTCTTCCATCCTTGTCTTCTTTTTCCTTTCCTTCTTCTCCCCCATCTTTAACAAACAAACAAACAAACAAACAAACAAACAAACAAACAAACAGAACCTTAGGGTTCCGGCTCCTTTTCCATTCTGGGGAGCATCAGTCCGGTTCCTATTCCACCGGCAAGTCAGAAAGGATTACAATAAGTATTAAGTACTCACTCACGGTCCTCTGACTGTCTCTTATACACATCTAGATGTGTATAAGAGACAGCCCCTGAATGATGCTGCTAAGCCAGTAAATAATGCTGTTAAACCCCTAAATGACACTGATTAACCTCTAAGTGATGCTCGTAAATTGCGAAATGA